TTTCAAAAATTTCCCAAAAAAAATAGTTAAAATTGGTACAATCGACTGAAAATTGCTGTCAATTTTCGACAATCTTCCGCTAGTTATGAATCTGAAATCGCTGTTACGTTATCATTTCCAATAAATGCGAAAAGTGAATTCAAAACTTTCAAAAATTTTCCAAAAAATGGTTAAAATTGGTTGAATCAACCGAAAATTGGTATCAAATTTTAGATAATCTTCCACCAGTTACAAATGCGAAATCACTGAATATCTGTTCCAATATACACGAAAAGTGAATTGAAAATTTTCCAAAAAAATTTCAAAAAAATGGCAAAAGTGGGTTCAATCAAACGAAAATTGGTGCCAAACTATATACAACTTTCCACCAGTTGCGAACTTGAAATCGGCGTCAGGAAATCTGTTCCAATAAACATGAAAAGTGAATTCAAAATTTTCAAAAATTAAAAAAAAAAATGGTTAAAATTGGTTCAATCGATCGAAAATTGGTGTCAATTTGTAGATAATCTTTCACCAGTTACAAATCTGAAATCGCCGTCGGGATATCTGTTTCAATAAACACGAAAAATGAATTCAAAATTTTCAAAAATTTTCCAAAAAAAATAGTTAAAATTGGTACAATCAACTGAAAATTGGTGTCAATTTTCGACAATCTTCCGCTCGTTATGAATCTGAAATCGCTGTTACGTTATCTTTTCCAATAAATGCGAAAAGTGAAATCAAAATTTTCAAAAATTTTCCAAAAAATGGTTAAAATTAGTTCAATCGATAGAAAATTGGTGTCAAATTTTAGATAATCTTCCACCAGTCACAAATCTGAAATCGCCATCGGAATATCTGTTTCAATACACACGAAAAATGAATTCAAAATTTTCAAAAATTTTCCAAAAAAAAAATAGTTAAAATTGGTTCAATCGACTGAAAATTGGTGTCAATTTTGGACAATCTTCCGCTAGTTATGAATCTGAAATCGCTGTTACGTTATCATTTCCAATAAATGCGAAAAGTGAATTCAAAACTTTCAAAAATTTTCCAAAAAATGGTTAAAATTGGTTGAATCAACCGAAAATTGGTATTAAAATTTTGGATAATCTTCCACCAGTCACAAATGTGAAATCACAGTCTGAATATCTATTCCAATATACAAGAAAAGTGAATTGAAAATTTTCCAAAAATTTTCCAAAAAAATGGTTAAAATCATTTCAATTGACTAAAAATTGGTGTCAATTTGTAGATAATCTTCCACCAGTTACAAATCCGAAATCGCCGTCGGGATATGTTTCAATAAACACGAAAAATGAATTCAAAATTTTCAAAAATTTTCCAAAAAAAATAGTTAAAATTGGTTCAATCGACTGAAAATTGGTGTCAATTTTGGACAATCTTCCGCTAGTTATGAATCTGAAATCGCTGTTACGTTATCATTTCCAATAAATGCGAAAAGTGAATTCAAAACTTTCAAAAATTTTCCAAAAAATGGTTAAAATTGGTTGAATCAACCGAAAATTGGTATCAAATTTTAGATAATCTTCCACCAGTTACAAATGCGAAATCACTGAATATCTGTTCCAATATACACGAAAAGTGAATTGAAAATTTTCCAAAAAAATGGTTAAAATTAGTTCAATCGATCGAAACTTGGTGTCAAATTTTAGATAATCTTCCACCAGTCACAAATCTGAAATAGCCGTCACGATATCTGTTCTAATAAACACGAAAAGCGAAGTCAAAATTTCCGAAAAAAATTTCAAAAAAATGGCAAAAGTGGGTTCAATCAACCGAAAATTGGTGCCAAACTATATACAACTTTCCACCAGTTGCGAACTTGAAATCGGCGTCAGGAAATCTGTTCCAATAAACATGAAAAGTGAATTCAAAATTTTCAAAAATTTAAAAGAAAAATGGTTAAAATCGGTTCAATCGATCGAAAATTGGTGTCAATTTGTAGATAATCTTTCACCAGTTACAAATCTGAAATCGCCGTCGGGATATCTGTTTCAATAAACACGAAAAATGAATTCAAAATTTTCAAAAATTTTCCAAAAAAAAATAGTTAAAATTGGTACAATCAACTGAAAATTGGTGTCAATTTTCGACAATCTTCCGCTCGTTATGAATCTGAAATCGCTGTTACGCTATCTTTTCCAATAAATGCGAAAAGTGAATACAAAATTTTCAAAAACTTTCCAAAAAATGGTTAAAAATGGTTGAATCAACCGAAAATTGGTGTCAGATTTTACATAGTCTTCCACTAGTTACAAATGTGTAATCACCGTCTGAATATCTGTTCCAATATACACGAAAAGTGAATTGAAAAATTTCTAAAATTTTCCAAAAAAAATTGTTAAAATTAAATCAATAGACCGAAAATTGGTGTCAAATTGTGGATAATCTTCCGGCAATTACAAATTCGAAGGCGCCGTCACGATATCTGTTCCAATAAACACGGACAATGAATTGAAAATTTTCAAGAATTTTCCAAAAAATGGTTAAAATTAGTTCAATCGATCGAAAATTGGTGTCAAATTTTAGATAATCTTCCACCAGTCATAAATCTGAAATCGCCGTCGGGATATCTGTTCCAATAAACACGAAAAGTGAATTCAAAATTTTCAAAAATTTTCCAAAAAAATAGTTAAAATTGGTTCAATCGATCGAAAATTGGTGTCAAATTTTAGATAATCTTCCACCAGTCACAAATCTGAAATCGCCGTTGGGATTTCTGTTTCAATAAACCCGAAAAGTGAATTCAAAATTTTCAAAAATTTTCCAAAAAAATGGTTAAAATCATTTCAATTGACTAAAAGTTGGTGTCAAATTGTAGATAATTTTCCACCAGTTATAAATCTGAAATCGCCGTTGGGATATCTATTCCAATAAACACGAAAAGGGAATTCAAAATTTTCAAAAATTTTCAAAAAAAAAATAGTTAAAATTGGTTCAATCGACTGAAAATTGTTATCAATTTTGGACAATCTTCCGCTAGTTATGAATCTGAAATCGCTGTTACGTTATCTTTTCCAATAAATGCGAAAAGTGAATTCAAAATTTTCAAAAATTTTCCAAAAAAATGGTTAAAATCATTTCAATTGACTAAAAGTTGGTGTCAAATTGTAGATAATTTTCCACCAGTTATAAATCTGAAATCGCCGGCGGGATATCTGTTCCAATAAATACGAAAAGTGAATTCAAAATTTTCAAAAATTTTCCAAAAAAATGGTTAAAATCATTTTAATTGTAGTTTCATCTAATCAAAAAACAAAAAAAATGAGACTCAAAAGCGGTGGTGGGTAGGATTTGCCTTTTGTCCAATAGAATGAGTGATCAGGAGGAAAACCGAATGGGTGGGTGGGCGGGGCCACTTGGAAATTTTTTTAAGCGTAGATTGGACCACTTGACAAAATTAAATTCAGTTTTCATCTAATCAAAAACCAGTGAAACTCATAAGCGGACGTGGGTGGGGTTAGTTTTAGCTCACTATTTTCTTCGTGGGTACATGATTTGACAAAATCACTCTTACCTTAGCACGTACTAGCCCCGCCCACCCACCCTCTCTTTTTTTAGAGGTTATGTCATTTGCCAAAATCAGTTTTATCTTAGCAGGTACTAGCCCCGCCCACCCACCCTCTCTTTTCTTCGAGGGTATGTCATTTATTAAAATAGATCTTATTTTAACAGGTACTAACACCGCCCACGCGCTCTCTATTGTCTTAGAGACAACATTTTTAACATTATGTGCAAAATTTTTTGTTCATCTGCATCTTTCGTATTTTTGTTAATTTTTGGAACATTAAAAAGTTTTATATTTTTGAAATTTTTGAATTTTTACCATTTTATAGTCTATTAAGATCTTTATAAATCTTCAAAAATTTTTGGGCTGTTAGAACTTTCGAAACTTTTGAAATTCTTAAATATCTTAGTTTTTTATAAAATTATAGGATTCTAAACCTAAGATACATTTCTATTTATTTAAATATATTCAGAAACCTCACAATGATGTTGAGATTTTGTTTTTTTTAATTCTTTAAAATTTTAAGACGTCAATTTCAAATTTTCTGTTGTTTGAGATTTATGAGATTTTTGTGTGTATAGTTTTTGATATTTTTTGTATTGTCATTTTCCAACTTTATTATTTTATTTTTTATATTTTTGAAGACATTTTTTTAATTAATACCGAGGGACTATTAATATGTGTGATTTTCTGTCAGGTTGGCAACCTATTTTCATTTTATAATGGCATACCTGATTGTCAAAGTTTATTAAACCTGCTCTTGTCAAAATTGACAACCCTGAACGACGTAGTAGCAGGGACACCAATTGAGAACTGCCAACACAAAAAAAAATATTGGACGAGAAATTTCTTTGAGATTCTCGTCAAGTTGAGCAACAATTACGAAAGGAGAACTTTACTTTGGGTCGAACTCTTGTTTAAAAAGAAATGTCAAGGAATTGAAGAAGGCGGAGATTTTTTACAGAAATGTCACCGGTGCAATAGTCTTTACAAGATCTTGACTTGCCAAAAAAATGACAAGGAACATTTTTGAATCTCATAATAAAACAGATAAGATCAATATTTGCGTAATCATATGTATTTTTTAATTATCACAATATACACACAAAAACGCGATAATAGTATTACTTAAGAAAAGAAAGCGATGTTTGCCTTGTGAAATTTTAACTGTTGCCAGCCGTAATCTATTAAGAAAACTTGTTGCAGTTTTTTCGCAAGGAGTTCCATTTTAAATTTTGCCTAACTGATGATAACAATTTATCTTTACAAAAAAAACCCTAACAAAATAAAAACTATTTACAGATACATTACAAAGAAAGTGTCTATTTACACTCACTTACATTTCCTTTTACCAATTAATAAAAGATAAAACTCAGTAGGTACTTAAATAAAACAAATAAACACAGTCTGTGCATATCCACCTTGACCACTTTAATCACTGATTTTTTCCCATCCTACCCACTTTCTAACCAAGTGCGGTTCGTTCCAGACCACCATGGTAACAAAAATCGAAAACGAAAGTCCCATCCTGCAATGGTACACCGGCAAATCTATCTTCATAACCGGAGCCACCGGCTTCATGGGCAAGGTCCTGCTGGAAAAACTCCTCTACACTTGCACCGGCGTCAAAAACATCTACATCCTCATCCGCAGCAAGCGAGGAAAAAATCCAGAAACACGTATCCAGGAAATGTGGTCCCTGCCTGTACGTAATACTCATCTAACTATAATTATCATAAATTATTATTGACGTCTGTCCCAAATTGTGGGTAATTTCAGCTATTTGAGCGTCTGAGAGCATCTCAGCCTTACGCAATCAACAAAATCATCCCGGTAATTGGCGACTTGAGCTCGGAAGGTCTAGGTCTCAACCAGCAGGATCTCGACCTCCTGGTGAACAACGTCAACGTGGTGTTTCACTGCGCCGCGAGTCTTAAGCTGGAGGCCACGTTGAAGGACGCCATCGAGCAGAACACGGCGGGTACGGGTAGGGTCATCGACGTGGTGAAGAAAATCCAGAATTTGGACGTGTTCGTATACTTCAGCACCGCTTTTTGCTCAGCGGATATAGACGTTTTTGAGGAGAGGGTGAGTTTGGGGAGGAAGGATGTGGTAATTGTTGTCAATGGAGTTTGAACTGTGATTATTTTTTGGCGATGAACTATTAGAGGCAAGGACAACGAGTAACAGGTAGATGGAGGTCATTATCAAGGTCCAGAATTCACCGTCTACGCGATATTGTGTGTTTAGTCAGACGTGTTTTATGTTGTTGTTGTTGTTGTTACATAATCTAAAACAATTGCACTAATTGCTGTTTGTTAAACAAAAATAATTAGTTGGATTTTGTCAAAAAATTCAGTCAATTTATTTAAAATAATGAGCTAAGCAAAATAGGGGTAATACTATACTTATATGTATAATATTCTAACTAAAATTGTGAAATTAAAAAAAAAAAATTTAAATCGGAATAATGAAAAATCGAAAAATTGTAAAAATAAAGTTAACAAAAAAAAACGAAACGAACAATTTCAAATCTAAAAACTGAGAACTCTAGAAATTTTAAATCAAAAAATTGCAAATTCCAAGAATTGAAGAAACACAAAATGAAAAATCGCAAATCATGCGGGATTTATTGCACCTCAGGCGAAGGAAGTTCTGTCGAAATAATGCCCCTATTTCAGTACACCAATGGTACGCCACTGGCCAAAGCAGAGAACATAGAGAAGCGTCATAGTTTAAATTAAATGACGGTTGAGGACTCCTCGACTTATGTTGGCAACAGTATTTGTTTCTAACTAGAAATAAAATTAACTAGAAAAAACGTCATAATATTTTTAACGACGCGTTTTACTTTCGACAAATTGACACTAGATTTACCAGAATATTACAAGCTGCTTACTTGTTTGATCTACAGACCAGAGCGCACTCAGGCCAATGTCGACTCTAAGCGTTGGGAAACGATTTGATTTATAAGCCATGATCCGTTATCTGATACACATCCTAACCGGTTTCGACCATAATTTCTTGCTGTATCAACTTACGAATTCTCAGTTTTTCGAAATTTTAGTTTGGGGACTTTCAGTTTTCTGCTATTTATTTTGCAATTTTTCGATTTTACAATTTCTCAATTTCTCAATTTTTCAATTTCTCGGTTTTCAGTTTTTCTCTTCAATTTTACGATTTTTAAATATTTCGATTTTTCAATTTTTAACTTTTATAAACTCTTTATTTGTCGATTTTGATTTTTCAACTTCACTTTATTGATTTTTCGATTTTTGAATTTTTCAATTTTTTAATTTCTCAGTTTTTGGACATTTCAGTTTTGGGATTTTTGAGTTTAACTATTATTCAATTTTTCGATCTTACGTTTTTGCAGGTTTTTGATTTTTCAATTTTTCGATTTTTTTAAGGTTTCGATATTTCGACTTCACTTTCTTGATTTTTCGATTCTTTAGATTCTCAGTTTTTAGATATTTCACTTTTGGAATTTTTCAGTTTTTCGATATTTCAGTTTTGGAATTTTTCAGTATTTCTGTTCTTCGACTTTTCCATTTTTGACTTCTGGATTTTTCGATGTGTCGACTTTTTACTTTTTTCGATTTTTCGACTTCCCGGTTTTAGATTTTCTATTTTTCAATTGTCGTTTTTTCCATTTTTCAATTTTTAAATTTTAGATTTTTCAGTGTTTTGATATTTTAATTTTTCAATATTTAAAATTTTAGATTTTTCGATTTTTCATTTCAGTTTTTCAAGTTTTCGAATTTTTCAAATGTTTTGATTTGTTAATCAACCGATTTTTCGTCTTCCCGGTTTTAGATTTTCTGTTTTTCAATTGCCGTTTTTTTCAAATTTTCTATTTTTCAATTTTTCAAATTTGACATTTATAAACTGTCAATTTTTCGATTTTCTCATTTCTTGACTTTTGAGGGTTTTTTGGTATTTTAATTTTTCAATATTTAAAATTTTAGATTTTTCGATTTCTCGATTTTTCATTTCAGCTCTCCCATATTTCAATTTTTCAATTTCTTAATCTTTCGATTTTTCGACTTCCCGGTTTTAGATTTTCTGTTTTTTAATTGTCGTTTTTTCAATTTTTCGATTTTTAAATTTTAGATTTTCCAGTTTTTTGATATTTTAACTTTTCAATATTTAAAATTTTAGATTTTTCGATTTCTCGATTTTTCATTTCAGTTCTTCGATATTTCAGTTTTTCAAGTTTTCGAATTTTTCAAATGTTTTGATTTGTTAATCAATCAATTTTTCGACTTCCCCGTTTTAGATTTTCTGTTTTTCAATTGTCGTTTTTTCAAATTTTCAAATTTGATATTTATAAACTGCCAATTTTTCGATTTTTCAATTAATCGATGTTTTGATTTCTTCAATTCTTTAATTTTTCGATTTTTCAGGTTTTTGATTTATTTTTTAATTTTTTTAAGGTTTTAATTTTTCGATATTTTAAGTTCTCAGTTTTTGGATATTTCAGTTTTTGAATTTTTCAGGTTTTCCATTTTTCAGTTTTTCGATATTTCAGTTTTGGAATTTTTCAATATTTTGATTCTTCGACTTTTCGATTTTTGGCTTCTGGAATTTTCGATGTGTGGATTTTTTTAATTTTTCGATTTTTCAATTTTGCGATTGCTTAATTTTTCGACTTACCAGTTTTAGATTTTCTGTTTTCAATTGTCGTTTTAAATTTTTAGATTTTTCAATGTTTTGATTTCCTGATTTAGTTCCCCTTTTCGATTTTTCAGGTTTTTGATTTATTTTTTAATTTTTTTAAGATTTTAATTTTTCGACATTTTAAGTTCTCAGTTTTTGGATATTTCAGTTTTCGGATTTTTCAGGTTTTCCATTTTTCAGTTTTTCGATATTTCAGTTTTGGGATTTTTCAATAGTTTGATTCTTCGACTTTTCGATTTTTGGCTTCTGGAATTTTCGATGTGTGGATTTTTTTAATTTTTCGATTGCTTAATTTTTCGACTTACCAGTTTTAGATTTTCTGTTTTCAATTGTCGTTTTAAATTTTTAGATTTTTCAATTTTTCGATTTCCCGATTTAGTTTCCCATTTTTAGTTTTTCTTTGATTTTTCAGTTTTTCGATATTTCAGTTTTGGGATTTTTCAATATTTCGATTCTTCGACTTTTCCATTTTTGACTCTTGGATTTTTCGATGTGTCGATTTTTTTACTGTTTCGATTTTTAAATTTTAGATTTTTTAATTTTTAAAATTTTATATTTTTCGATTTCTCGATTTTTCATTTCAGTTCTTTTCAATTTTTCAAGTTTTCGAATTTTTCAAACGTTTCGATTTCTTAATCTTTTGATTTTTCGACTTCCCGCTTTTAGATTGTCTGTTTTTCAATTGTCATTTTGTCAAATTTTCGATTTTTTAATTTTTCAAACTTGACTGTTATAAACTCTCAATTTTTCGATTTTTCAATTAATCGATGTTTTAATTTTCCCATTTCTTGACCTTCGAGTGTTTCGATTCTCCTGTTCTTCAATTCTCTAATTTTTTGATTTTTCAGGTTTTTGATTTTTCAATTTTTCGATTTTTTAAGGTTCCTATTTTTCGACTTCACTTTTTTGATTTTTCGATTTTCCAGTTTTTAGATATTTCAGTTTTAGGATTTTTGAATATTTTTCTTTTTTCTTTTTTTTCTTCGGCTTTTCTGTTTTTGACTTCTGGGTTTTTCGATGTGTCTACCTTTTTACGTTTTGGATTTTTCAATTTTTTGATTTGTTAATTTATCATTTTTTACATTTTTTATTTTGGTCTATTTCGATTTCTCAGTTTTTTCAGTTTTCCATTTTTTCGTTTTTTGATTTTGCCGCTTTTCCAATTTTTCAACTTTTATTTGTCGATTTCTCTATTTTTCGACTTCATCACTTTTCGATTTGAATCTTTCAATCTCTCAATTTTTCAATTTTTCGAATTTTTAAGTTTTAAACAACCACAAAAATTGTCACCAAAAACATAAAAAAAATCATACAAAATAGAACACAGTGTTTCCAAAACGTTTTCCCAAAAAAATCCATTGGGTTATTACGATTTCAACAATATTCATTCGAAATGACAGATCGTGATGGTTTAACACGGTTTATGTTGTACACCGCATTCTTAATTTCTTGCTCCAGATTATACAGCATTTTCTGCACATTTAAGGATTTTTTTAGGCCTTAATTTCGTTAAAATTACTTCTTCAAAACTTTCAGAAAGTGAGGTTAAATTTATTTCAGTTCATAAGATCTTGTCACTGATCCCTATAATTTTTTTTTTGCAATTTCAATAATAGTACACCGAGTTCATCTGTTTAAGGTCGACTTCATATACAACACATCAACATTAAATTATGCACTGAACTATGACCAATGTACTTAGTTTCATTAATAAAATTATTTTGTACCCACTTCTAGATCTACGACTGCCACGAAAACCCCCGTGACGTCATCGAAGTAGCCCGCTGGATGAGAGATGACGCTTTAAAAATAGCCACCCAATCCGTCATAGCCCCCCATCCTAACACCTACACCTACAGTAAAAGATTGGCGGAGAAAATGGTCGCTGACGAGGTCGACAACATCCCCGTATGCATAGTACGACCTTCCGTGGGTACGAAACCATCCCCCTGTATATATTTCCGTAACCCTATTTGCCCACAGTGACTCCCGCAATGTTGGAACCTTTACCCGGATGGGTGGACAGTCTTAACGGCCCCATGGGACTCCTGGTAGGGGGCGGCAAAGGCGTCATCCGTTCCATGTACGCTAAAGCTGAGAACAACGCGCAAGTGGTACCTGTGGACATCGCGATTAACGCCACTATTGTGATAGCGCAGAGGATAGGTTCGAGAACTGAAAAGTTTGTCTAGTCTTCAGTAGTTACTCAATTCAATAACACTTCTGGACTTTCAGGACGAATAAAGTCCCTGTTTATAACCTGACCCAAGACGACTGCCTCCCGATCACCATGGGCGAGATCCTCAACAAGGGCAGACAGGCCGTCTACGAGAACCCTTTCGAAATGCAAATTTGGTACCCAGACGGCGACATCCGCTCGTCCTATCTAGTCCACAAAATTTACTGCATTTTGTTGCACTGGCTTCCGGCTTACTTCATCGATTTCCTGCTGCTTCTCTTCAGATATCCACGATTGTAAGTTGACGTTGACGTTGCCACTTTTGGGTATCAGTGTGTTCTAGTATGGTGCGGCTGCAAGGAAAAGTCCACGACGGGCTGGAGCTGCTGCAGTTCTTCACAGTGCGTCAGTGGAAGTTCAAAAACGAGAAGTTCGTGGGGCTGACGCACGACATGACGCAGGAGGAGATCGCGACGTTCCAGATGGACTTCCATGCGGTACCGCTGGACCATTACATGACGACGTGCGTGCTAGGGGCTAGGCAGTACCTGATGAAAGAAGACCTGTCGACTCTGCCGAGGTGCAGGAGGAAGCAGAAGTTGTAAGTACCACCAAGGGTGTTAGCGTTTTGGTTACAACTCTTTTTTCAGTTTATACGTGATTCATAAGGTTGTCGTGTTCTGTCTATACACTTGCTTGATTTGGTTGGCTGTCACGACGCTACCCAAGGTGAAAATCATGTTTGACGTGGCCGGGAGTTTTATACATAAGTTGGGGCACGGACCCATATCTACCAAGTAAACTTGGTCGTTGGTACACGACTTTTTACAACTGTTGGGTTCAGGGGTGATGTAAATGTTACGTATTTTTAAGTATTGTGTATGCGTTAAATGTTGTTACAATGTATGAGAATTAAATAATAAAATGTCATCTTGCCACTTTTGCAAGCATGTTTTTTTGTGGTTTCCACCGACACCCTGACAACACTTTTTTTATGAAAGAGAAATAAACACAAACACAGATGGCGCCACCATCTAAAGAATTCGTTGGCTAACGAGTGCTCTCTGCTACAATTTTCTCTATCGAAACAGAGTAAAAGTTCATCTTTTTACCAAAAGGAAGTAGATGATCTCAGCAAACATTAATTTAAAAATTTAAACAAATAAATTTTAGGTATCTATGCAAAGATCTCATTTCAAAATTAAAGAGAATGACATTTATAAATTATAACCAAAAACAACAAAAGAAAAATCCATTAAAGTATAACCAACTAAACACTAGAGATGTTTAAAATTTCTGCCTTGTGCATATAAGTAAGGTCGTAATGTTTCCAAATTTTAATAATTTTTCTAAAGGTTAGTCACCAGTACCAACTTGCTAAGATGAAACTGATTTTGGCAAATGACATAGTTCTTAAATTTTAAGATCTCGATTTATCAACTTGTCAATTTTTTATTTTTCGATTTTTCCATTTTGGCCTATTTCGGTTTCTCAATTTTTCGATTTTTCGACTTCTCAACTTTACGAGAGAAATCCCAAAACTGAAACAGTGAAAAGAATTCGAAGAGTGGACAAATAGAAAACTTAGAAACGCCAAAAACAGAAAATTTGAAAAATGTCAGATTTAAAAAATCGAAAAATTGAAGAATCGAAACATTGAGAAACCAAAAATTTGAAAATTCGAGATATCGAAGGATTAAAAAATCCCAAAACCGAAATATCGAAAACTGAGTAATCGGAAAATTGAAAATCGAGAAATTAAGAAAAATTAAAAATCGAGAAATTGAATAATCTAAAAGTTTAAATCGAAAAATCTGATATTTTAAAAATCGAAAAAATTGAGAATACGGAAAAACTCAAAAATAAAAAAATTAAAATATGTATCGAGAAATCGAAACATCAAAAAATCGAAAAATTGAAAAATCGAGTAATCGGAAAATTGCAAAATTTAGAAATCCTAAAAGTGACAAATTAGATATCGAAAAATCGAAAACTGAAAAATTCGAAAATTTAAACAATCAGGAAACTGAAAAATCAAAAGCCTGAAAAATTAAAGTACTGAAAAACTGAAATATCGAAAAATCGAGAATTCGAAAAATTGATAAATAGAAAATTTAAAACCGCCAAAAACAGAAAATTTGTAATATGTTAAAATTAAAAAATTTAAAAACTGAAGAATCAAAACCTTGAGAAATCAAAAATTCGAAAAATTGAGCAATTTAGAATCAAAAATCAAAATTTTAAAAAATCGAAAAAATTTTAAATATTAAAAAATGGAGGAATCAAAAAGTTGAAATATAGAGAAATCAAAATATCAAAAAATTGAGAAATTGAAAAATCGAAAAATTCACCAATTCTCGACTTTTTGATTTTTCGATTTTTCAATGTCTCAGATTTTGCATTTTTCAATTTTCGATATTTTACTTTATGGCTTTTCGATTTTTGATTTATCCGATTTTTTAATTTTCTAATTTTTAAAATATTCGAGTTTCGTTTTTTCGATTTGTTGATTGTTGACTATTTCGATTTTTAATTTTAAATTTTCGAATTTTTATTTTTTTGATTTTTTGATGTTTCGATTTTTGGATTTCTTTCTTACTTTTGAGCTTTTCAATTTTTCGATTTTCCAATTTTTCAATTTTCTAATTTTTTAAATTCTGGGGTTTCGATTAGTCGATTTTTCAGTTTTTCGGTTTTTAAATCTTAGGTTTTCGAATTTTTGTTTTTTGATTTTTTTGGTGTTTAGATTTCTAAATTTTCCATTTTGAGATATTTTAATTGTTGTTTTAAGTTTTAGATTTTTTGATTCTCGATTTTTTAATTTTTCAGTTCTTCAGTATTTCTATTTTCCAACTTTTTCAATTTTGACGTTGCTAAATTTTCAGTTTTCCGATTTCTCAATTAATCTATTTCTGATTTTCCCACTTTTGGAGTTCTCCAAGTTTCGATTTTTCAGTTCTTCAATTCCTCGATTTTTCGACTTTATTTTTTTGGTTTTTGGGTTTCTCAATTTTCCAATTAATCCCAATTTTTGGATATTTCTTTCAATTTTGGGATTTTCCAGTATTTTGATCTTTGGACTTTTAGATTTTTGACTTCCGGATTGTTTGATTTTTCGATTTTTTATTTTTTGGATTTTCACTTTTATATTTCGATTTCTTAATCTTTAAATTTCTCGAGTTTTCAGTTCTATATTTCAATTTTTCGAATTTTTAAACTTTCGAATTTTACGATATTTTAATTGTTTAAATTAAGTTTTTTAAATTTTAGATTTTTCGATTTTCTGATTTTTCAGTTACCCGATTTTTCAATTTTCTAATTTTTTAAATTCTGGAGCTTCGATTAGTCCATTTTTTAGTTTTTCGTTTTTAAATTTTAGGTTTTCGAATTTTTATTTTTTGATTTTTTGATGTTTGGATTTCTAAATTTTCCATTTTGCTATATATTAATTGTTGTTTTAAGTTTTAGATTTTTTGATTTCTCGATTTTTTAATTTTTCAGTTCTTCGGTATTTATTTATATTTTCCAACTTTTCCAATTTTGATGTTGCTAAATTTTCAGTTTTCCGATTTCTCAATTAATCTATTTCTGATTTTCCCACTTTTCGAGTTCTCCAAGTTTCGATTTTTCAGTTTTTCAATTCTTCGATTTTTCGACTCTGCTTTTTTGGTTTTTCGGTTTCTGAATTTTCCAATTAATCTCAATTTTTGGATATTTCTTTCAGTTTTGGGATTTTCCAGTATTTTGATTCTTCCACTTTCAGATTTTTCGATTTTTAATTTTTTGGATTTCCATTTTTTCGTTTTTTAAACCTTAGATTTTTCGACTTCTCGACTTTTGGACTTTTTCGATCTTCTAATTTTTCGATTTCTCGACGTCTTAGTTTTTGAATTTGTCGCTTTTCCGCTTTTGTAATTTTCGGCTTTTCGATTTTTGAATTATCCAATTTTTCAGTTTTCCAATTTTTAAAATTTTCGAGTTTCGATTTCTCGATTTGATTTTTCAGTTTTAAGAATTTTTATTTTTTTTATTTTTTGATGTTTTGATTTCCCCATTTTTCAATCTTACGATATTTTAATTTTTCAATGTTTTAAATTTTAGATTTTTCTATTTTTCAGTTCTTCAATATTTTTTAATTTTTCAAATTTTGACGTTTCTGAATTTTCAGTTTTCTGAAATATATTGTTTTTGGAATTTTGATGACGCTACCAAGAAAAATAAAACTAGTAAAAAAATTGCGGAAAGTTATTTTGGCAGAACTTCCCTCGCCTTTGAAGTATGTTCCTATCAATTCCGCTTCTTTACAACATTATTATTATATTTAAACTTTAACTCAAAAATTTGTTTTTAATTTCTTGTGAAGAAATAAGTATTTTGCAGTTAAGCTCTGCCCCTCTTGATTCAAAGCGAATAAAAAAATCATCACAATTGAGACAGGGTGGGTGGGCGGGCTTATATTTTGCCTTTTTGTTTTAATAAAAGTGTAGACTTCTTGTCACAAGATGAAACTTAAAACATGTTTAAAATGGAAAATTTGTATAAGCAAATATCGATTTTTTTTCAAAAAAAAAAACTAGGTCCCAAAATTAATTCAAAGACAGGTCAGGTCAGAATTTTCCAAACACCAAAGTCCCTCAAAATTGTTTTAAATTTACCAAAAAATCTCCATAGGCATCTGAAGGCATTTCGCCATTAAAAAAAACACAACGTAGAGTTCCACTTTTTTTTACGATCACAGTTCAAGGCCAATTTTTTAAATTTCACCGAGAAATGTTAATTACGTTAGTAAAAAATTCTAAATTTTTCAAAACTGCTGAAAATACAATCTACTTACCATCTATTGCCTTCATGGCAGGATATATGTATTAAAAAAAAATGGAATCAACAATTTCAGTGTCTAGGTCCAGTTGTGAAATTTTATATGTTGTGGTGACCGAATTTGAATTAAAATTTCGTGCTGAAAAAAATTAACAGCGGCGTAAAATCGCATTCGAATAATTTGAATTTGAAAAAAAAAATCAATCAAGAAAATCGTTAAACATAGGCAACCAGGTGCACGTTTAGTTCTTTTTCTGGTAGTTGGTAGTTCGACTGGCAGTTTTAGTTAGAGGGTTGGTCGAAAATTGTTACTTGGTAGAGAGCTGAGAGGCTTCACTGAGTGTTGTGCGGTGTAAGAGAAACCACGTGGTGAGTTAGCTAAGTTAAGTCGAGTTGTTGGTTTGGTAGTTAATAAAAATTGGTCGAAAGTTGTTTCAACAGAACTTCCCTCACTCACTTCAAAGCATTCGGTTTTATAGTTCCTGATTAAATCAATAAAATAAATTCACGCATTCATTAATTTTTTTTGGTCACTCTGTATATGCATATCCAAAAAATATGAATGGAGTGATATATCACCAAAAGATACTCATCATATTTGGACATTTTAGATAGGATTTATTGAGCAGAATTTTGGGGTGACTAAATATATTGTGATTAAAATTATATCATGCTTATCATAACTGTAAACCATCTGCAAGATTTCAAAGCTATCGGTTTTGTAGATTCCAAATTAAATGTCAAAATATTGTTTCCTAATTTTGATTTTTTTCCGAAAATCTGGACGTTTCGGGTAAAATCTCAATTCGGAGTCATAAACTACATGTGTAAGACTATGCTTTTGATACAATTTAAAACCGAATTATTATGTACAATTTTGAAGTGACGTCATCACATTAGTGGTGGGGATGATTAGACAAATTTTGGTTAGCGTTTTACCATCTGCATGATGTACCTAATATAAATACAAAATTTGACAACAATCCACCCATTACATTCGGAGATTATCTGTCTAATAAAAATCCGGGACGGCAGACAGACGGACAGACGGACGGACAGACAGACGGACAGACGGAAACGGGAGACCTATTTCTTCGTCTTCTAGGGGTCATGAAACATCGTGA